AAAAACAAAAAGCACAGAACGGCACATTCTGTGCTCCCCCAGGGAGGGCAAAGGAGTCCTGCAAACCTGGCCCTGGGTGCTGGGACCCTCCTCCGGTTCGGTGACGACGTCCAACTACTCCCAGGAGGAAATGGAGGCGGCAGGAGTGATGTCACGCACTTGCACCTGACCTGCGTCCGCCTCCACCCCTGCTTTGCTTCAGAGCCCCCTCTGGTTCGGGGAGGCGGTAGCACACAGGTGAGGGATGAGAAGCCTGGTTCGGGACGCGTTTGTGACAGAAGTTGGACTCCCCTCTCCAAGCGATTGAGTCAGAAGCGAGTGCACTCTGGGGACAGATCCGTGTGACCCAGAGCCAGAAACCGTTAAAATGGGGACAGAGGCATGCTGTAAAAGTCTGCGAGACTCTTTACATGATTGTCCTCTGATGGGAAAGGACAAAAAGGAATATCAACACAGCAATTTCTCCAAGAAGTTACCCCAAAATAGATTCTGGGCAGGACGCTGTCATTTGCGATTCCAGGAAAAGACAGCCAGTCACTTTTTCCATTCCAACAGGTTATTCAGAAAGGGTTTAGTCATTCTGCTGCTGCTGCTCTGTCACTTCCAGGTTTTCCTTGTAATTCCACCTTTTCACAGTAAAACTGGACAAAACTTTCACTGAGTTTTGACTGAGAGCGAGCTGCTCACCACTGAGGAAGCCTGAGAGCGCGGCCCGGCCTGGACCGGCGCACTGGTGCTCACAGAGCAGGGTCGTGGAGCGGGTCGCGTCTGCTTCGTAAAAAGTGTGCAGAAAGAAGAGCGACAGTCAGTTTCAAAGGCAAGGACAGACACCTGTCCTGAGGCTGTGGAAAGTCCTCCCACTGACGGACCTAGAGAGCCTGTCGGCTCTTTGCTGGGGCTTGCGTAATGTGCAACACCCATTAAAATAAGCACCATTTAAAACACGCAGAAACATTATTAAGCAGCCTACCCACCGAAATGGAATCGGCCGCATCCTCTGTACAAGACCTCCGTCTGCAGCTTTGTCACCGATTCCAAGAGCACTCCTACCAGCGTCACACGGAGATCCCATCTCCCGTATCCCTCACCCAGAAGAGCCGCTATAGACACGTCTGAGTGCCAGGCGAGGCAGAAAACGCTGGGGACACCCCCACGCACTGACCTTCCGACTCCAAATCCAAGTGGCATTTCTTTTTTTAAACACAAACCTTGTCCCTCGGCCTCAGGTCCAAGATCGCACGGACAGGAGCCCTAAGCCTTTCAGTGCAGAGCATGACGGCCGGCCACTGGGCCAAGGAGACGGTGGCACCAGGACTGGAGGGCAGGAGGGTGGCACTTAACACGGTCATTCAGAACCCTGCACCCACGTTACACGAGATGCATTCAACCTCAGACGGGCTGTTGGCGGCTAAATGGACCCCACAAAATACCAGTCTGTGTCTACGGCTCCGACAAATCATTCGCCAACGGCGGTGACAGGTGCCGTTCTGAATCAATTATTCTCTCCAGGAATTTTTTTCTTTCAACAATAATGTAAATTCTTTAAACCAGCTGATATTTTGAACAGTGTGGAATAAGAAAACAGAAGAGAATAAATCCCCAGAGTTATTCATGAATATTCAAAATCTTAAATATAGGAAAGATCCTTGTCCTAAGTGTAAGCAAGTCCTTGAATTAAAGTATAAGTTTTGTAATTAATTTTAACGGCAAAAAATTTCAGTTTTCCTGTAGTTTAAAATAAGGCATAACTCAAGTGTGTTTTAAATATCTTTGAATGAAATAATATTTGAGAAGTTTTATGGCGGCAAACTGTGTCTGGTGAGGTTAGCCATTTGTATAAAATTTTTACATATATTTTTTCAAGTTTACATGGCACAGACAGAAACAAATGCAAAAGGAAACCGAGAAAGCTAAGAGCAAGCACACGCCCTCAGCACAGACCGTTTCATGATGAAAGACTCAGTTTGAGGGCTGCATTCGCTAAAAATGGTGTGCCTTTTGCTTCAATGGACTGACAGGTTTTCCTCTGTCACCACTGAAAAATCTTCTCCAGAGTCAAGGCTTTGACACCAGTCATAACAGAGAATGACCGTGACAGTAATTCTGACTGTGGACCTGCCCTCACCCAGGACTGCACAGATCTCGCTCTCGCTCACGGCCTTGGTTCATGGCGAGCACGGCTGGTCGCAGGCCTGGTGAACCGACCCTTCGGGCTCATTAAGCAACGCTGTCCTGAGTGCAGGCGGCTCATCTGAACTACAGGCCCCAGGATGGCAGGGCTGCAGGAGGTCCAGGCCCCCCACGATCATCTGTGCCCCAGGGTGGCGACCCCCCGCTTCCCGGCACCATCCTGCTGACTGCAAATCTTCCTCCAAACTGGTGCCTGGAGGCCTGGGTGTGAACGGCACCCGTGTGGGGAGCAGTACTGCAGCTGCGTAAGTGATGGCTGGCCACTCTTGAAACCAAATAAACCTGTATCACTCAGGATGTTTCACAAGCTACATAAATCCCCCCGATTATCCCAAGTTCCAATAAAAATGCTTATTTTAAAAACCGAGAATAAGCCATTTGTAAAATGGTGATAGATGAGATACATCAAATTAAAATAAGTGTTACTGTCCCAACAAAATGAATTGTTTTTGTTCATCCCCCCCCCCCCCCCGCAGTGTAGGTAATCAACCAGCAGTAGAAATACGATATTGACGGACCGTCTCCGGGGCGGCCTCACAAGGGGCAAGTGGAGGACTCACACACACGGCACTGGGCATGACTGTGACTCAGAAGCAGCACAAGGTACAGCGACCCAGCTCCCTCTTGCTCCCAGCCAGGCAGTAGCAGAGATGCACCAGTTTTCAACCCCCCCCCCCCCCCGTCGGGGGAGGTATCCGCTCGCAGGGCACTGTGAGTAGATACGTTCATTTCACAGAGCTCAAGAAGTTGCCTTTTGAGGAGAAAAGTCCATTTGAGAATTAGAATCATTTCTTTAGCTTTTCTTCTGGACTGTATACTTGTGATTATAATGTCTCCAAAATTAGAGAAAACCTACCCAACAACTTCATACATAAAAAAAACACCCAAAACAAACAAGAGTTGATCCAGGAAAGTGAAAATCGGTCCGTTTATCTTCCGAGTCACTGGAAACTCCACCGGTTACCTCGCTTCCTGGGTGGTCTCACTGCGGCTGTGGTCACGGAGCAGGAGTTAACGGTGCCCGGAGGGGTACGGGCTGAGAAACGAAAGTCCAGTCCAGGAGTAGAAATAAACATGATTATTTGCAAATGGCTGAACAGAAAAAGTTCTATTAAGTTTTCTGGTTTTCACTTATGACATGCCTAGACCTGTCTTTTCAACTCTAAACCGCCCTGGCTGGTGTAGCTCAGTGGATTGAGCGCGGGCCTGCGAACCAGACAATCGATTCCCAGTCAGGGCACATGCCAGGGTTGCAGGCAGGTTCCCTGCAGGCCAGTTCCCAGCAGGGGACGCACGAAAGGCAACCATACATTAATGTTTCTCTCCCTCTCTCCTTCCCTTCCCCTCTAAAGATAAATAAATAAAATCTTTAAAAAAAAACCTCTAAACTTACTTACTTTTTCTTAAAAGTGGCCAGCTTCTCCGAAGCATTAATTAAACTGAGGACAGATTTGGGGGCCAGTGTTCTCCACGATCATTCTTGTCTGTCCTTTCATGTCACGTGGCCAGCTTACTTCCAAGCGTGGAGAAGTAGGGAAAATTCACTCAGCTACCTGCTCTTTCCGAGAGCTAACGGGGCATTGCCTCTCGGGGTAATGGGGCTGCTGACCTCATCAGGTGGGAAAAAGTGGCCTTTAGAAAATGAAACACAGTTCATACAAATACTCAGATATTTCTAAAGGTCTAAGAAGATACAGAGATATTCTTGCTGATCAGGACCTCAAAAGCTGCAAGTACGCTTGTTTTTCCTTTCTTCTTTTTTTTTTAAAAAAAAGTTTTATTTATTTATTTTTAGAGAGAGGCGAAGGGAGAGAAAAAAAGAAAGAAACATCAGTGTGGTTGTCTCTCAAGTGCCCCCTACTGGGGACCTGGCCCACAACTTAGGCATGTGCCCTGACTGGGAATCGAACTCATGACCCTTCGGTTCACAGGCCAGTGCTCAATCCACTGAGCCACACCAGCCAGGGCTGCTTTTCCTTTCTTCTTAAAGGAAATACTACATCACTTAAGCCAGATGGCTGTTCTCTCCTTCACTTCACTTGAAAATTTACTAATAACAAAAATAAAAAAGATCAGAGACAATCTGCATTTCATTAAATAATGTAAGGTAAAAAGAAAGTAAATTCCACAAAGATTGGTCAAAAAAAGATGCAGCTGAGAGGCCCTGCCCACCCATCCTGTTTGCCGAGGCCCCGACACCAGGCCGACCTGTCACCCCACTGTCCCCATCCAGCTACTGCAGCGAGACTGTGGGGTTCAGGGAGACACCTCGGGATCAAGGCGAGTTCATTATGGTGAAAACAGCCCAAAAGATAAAAGCACATTTTTCTAATTACAGAGTCGAAAACTCATTAACAAGAGTTAACAACAAAATTTTAATGTGAGAAGATAAGAGTTTGGAAACTAATTTATATTATTTTCTAAAAATGTGGCTCAAACCCAATGACATTAAGTTTTCATTTCCCTAAAACGTTCCCAAATATGAATCAAACTGTCAAGGAGGAGAAAGTGAATAGCCAGACAGCAGCCTCACCCAGTGATCTCTCTTTCAAAACCTTGGAGCAATCTCCCACTACTAATTTCATAACCCTTTTACAGTCCTATATAATTTATGCGTGATACATTTCATTTAAGATCTGCAGTATTCAAACATTAGTAAACTTTCGCATCTTACGTATCACAAAAGCTCAGATAAGTAAGGGAGAAGCGCACTTCACCGAGCGCCGGGCACTTGCCGGGCACCCGCACTGCCTCCCGCAGCCACCGGCTGCTGCCCCGCCACCCGGCACCCTGCTCACTCCCGCCCTCCCGCCCGCCGGCCTGCCTCCGTCATCTTCTCTCTCTTCTGTAAGAAAATGAGCTTGAAATATCACATTACCAATCTTTAATTATGCTTAAGAAACGCTTCCTTGAAGCTCTCTGACTGACACAAAGTAATTAAACTCTCTGGGAAAGTAAGCTCCCTATAATTTGGCGTCCTCACTGTCTGCGGACTCGCTACCCACTGTAGTGATTTGAGATACTTTAAGAAACCCCTTCGAACACTGAGGTGTTTATTGCATTTTTAAACTTATCCACAATCTTAAATGTCCTGTTTCGATCTCCCCCAGAATTCCTTCGTAGCCTAGAACGTCAAATATTGAAATAGAGCTCTCACAGTAGCACACCTGAAAACACCATTTAGGGACAACAGTTTAGGAAACAGAGGGCTTAAGGCAAGACATTCGTTTGGAAGAGTTAACACCTCTCCATCGCCCAGAGGGACACAGTCCCGTTGCACCTCTTCAGCGCCTCAGGGCACGCGCGGACTTTCAGCAGCAGGCCCCACGTGCCCCTGCTGCCCCGTGCGGGGGTCCCCGAGCCCATCGAAGTAGTGGGAGTGTCTGTGTAAGGCGTGGCCCGCGGGGACGTGGCAGGGGAGGGCTCGCTCTGCTCCACTTCCGAGCGGGTGCGCAGGAGATTCCCTATCGGCGACTGTCCGATTCCCCCCCAACTTCCTCTCTTTTCAAACAGACCCGGAACCTTGAGAAGGTGCTAAGACTGGTTTCTGTTAATGTACGAACAGCAGCCGGCCTTCTGGTCACTGGTTCGACGGCAGGTGTGCGGAGGCTGCTTCTGGGCTACGAACACTGTTTGTTTCGGGAAAACTGTTCGGTTCCAAAGAAGTCTCTGTCTCATCGAACTTTTTGGATCGTGAGAGCTGCACATTTTCGTGTGTACTCTTTCCTCTTTGAGTTTTTTTCACTGGTAGCAACAGTAATACTAAGATACCAGCAATGTGAAGGCAGTAATACCAGGAGCTGGAAGCAAAAGGAAAAACTTTATTAAAGTTTAACAATCCTTAATACCCATGCACTTGGCAAAAATGTCACATGCCCCCTCAGGTTGTATTTATTTGCTAGTTATTCTCTTATCCCCCCACCCCTGCCTGAGATGATCTCTACAGTGCATTCCAGTGGGTCTTTATAAAGCTCTGGATAAACCCGAGTGGATTATAAGCATGAGACTAGGTATCATACTACATTCCTTTCTAAGGGTCACAAGGCCACAGCTAAATAGACCAAGGACAAAAAGGCACTTCTCAGCGGGTGCAGTGACCTGAGAGTAACCTCTCAAATCCACAGAACCAGACGCTGAGCAGAGGAGAGAATGCGGGACCAGCAGGGATTTCAACGGCTCTGGCATCTCCTGCTATGTACGGTCCTAATTAAGTTACATAGAGTCCAATGAAGCAACATAAACAGTATTGCTTCTTGATGGTACTGTCACGAAATTAAAAAGTCACGTTGCCCAGATTAAATATAAGCTAAATGTGATCTAAGCTGCTTCTACAGCTATAAGTTCAAGTAACTGTGAACGAAAATACTGGGTGAAGTTCAAACAACAGCTCGCTCCATCACATTAAAAAACATGTAACAATTTCATTAAAATGGGTGATTATCGTCACAGTTGATTCAACAAGTTTTGGCCCCGCATTCTGTGCTGTCACTCCGAATGCTGGGCAGTGAAGAATCTATGAGAGAATGAGGCCTTTGGTCTCAAAGATCACTAACGTGGGGGGAGGAGAGGACTTAGACAAAGCATGGAACTCAAGACAATGACGTCCATGTCACAGAGATGACGCGGTGCCGCTGAAGCACGAGACAGAGTGAAGCAAGAACAGGTAAGTGGACTGTCACTAAATTATGTCCTTTCGATTAAAGAAATTAAGAGAACGACTAGGTCCTTGTAAAGAAGAGCTGCGCTTTCTGGTTAACCCTTTCTGGGGGTGGGGGGTCTGAGGCACTGGCCATCCAGCTGCTGGCTCTGCAGCCCAGACTCTCATCTGAGGACCGAGGGGGAATCACTCCGTAAAGAGCCCGGAAACCACAGTCTCCAGACTGAAAAGTGCCGGCCCGGGCACGTGGCGGCAGGAAACGAGGCGCTGCTGCTGTCCGCCTGCCAGCGAGGAGCGCCCCTTAGAGTGGAGGCGCCCCGGGGACACCCCCGGCGGGAGCGCGCACCTGTAGAAGGCCAAGGACGGTCTCACGGAGAGCAGCACGAACGGCACGACGGTGTAGCTCACGGCCACCTGGGTGACTGCCCACGTGACCACGTCATACAGCAGTTTACGCTGGGGAGACCCGACGAAATAGTGTCTGAAGTTACTTCTCATCTGAAACAGAGAAGCACAAACGTGCGCTTCATCTCTAACACTGCTTTACGGAACTCCACCGCCTCCACCGCGTGTTTCGGGGCCTGGGAGAACAGCGCCCGGACAGCGCTGGGGGGGTTGTCCCTGCCGTAAGTGGGTTCAAAACAATATGAGGAGGTAGGAGAGCAGGGAGACAGGGCGCAGAAACACGTGGGCGAAACACGCGCGTCTGGGGGAAGGGCAGAGAGCTCCTTGCAACTCTGCTGTAGACCTGAAGATGTATTAAAATGAAACGTTTCAAAGTTAAAACAGCATTGACTAGAGCTCCTCAGACTGATCTTCCATTTTTCCACAGCAGTGACGATGTTCCCCGCGGCAACCACAAAGGGGACAGCCCCTGCTTTGTCCTCTGCGTTTGCGGAGGACAGATGCCACACTCCGAGCTCTCTTAGGACAAATGGCAGCCGTGCGCGCTCTCTGTTAGCACAAGCTTCGGAGGGCTGCTCGAAAAGCAGCTTTCTAGTAACCGCTGTTCTGTTGCTTTCAGCTTCTAGAGAACAATCGGTTGTGAAGAGGGTAAATTTAAACATTGTTTCCTTGACCTGGACGGGACTGCAGGGACGCGGTGTGAGTCCGTCCGAGGGGAAGTGCTGTGTGGGGCACTGTGCCCCCCCCAAATGTCCCTCCCTGCCCAGGACCCTCCCCTGCAGTTCCCACCCACTCTGTCCCCTCCGTCACCCTCGGCAACCCCGCCCTCCTGAGCCGGGGTTCGAGAGCCTGGGTCCCTGACATGCATACAGAAGGGGACGAGGCCCTTGCCCAGTCTCATGGTCAAGTTCTCTCTCCTATTCTTGCCTGCTGCCCCCACCCTGCCCTTCCCCTTTCCAGACTATTCCTTCTTTACGCAAACCGCGTGCGCCTGTCGTGCCCAAGCACCCCGGGCACTCTCAGACCCATTTCCGCCAATGCCATCTCCACGCCCAGAGCGCCCTTTCTCCCCCCAGCACACCCACCACGGAAGGAACTTTCCCTCTGGGAGCCCGGACCCAGCTGCGCTTTCCTAGGGAAGTCGCCTCTAGTGACCTGAGCCACAGGGACTTCCTGAGCCTCTGAACACCTGTGGTACCTCTCGTAGGCGCACAGAACCCATCACTCGTGCCTGTGGCACACGTGCAACACACGGTCTCACACCCCCAACGAGACCACAAACCACCAGGAGGCAGAGCCTCAGTCAGTCCTTCTTGGTGTTTCTCTCACACGCTCCGCACAGGGCATCACCAGCGGGCACAGCAAACACCTGCTAGCTTGGTACATGAAGCCACCTCACCTGGAAGTGACAGGTAAGACTGCCCTACCACCCTTCTGTCACGTCGCTTTCCTTTCAAGGACTTTCAAGGACTCACACTGAGTGTCCCTCTTCTTTTCCCACCCACGCCACTGATCTGTCTGCTCAACTGTTCCCCAGAACGTTACTCCGGGGCCCAGCCAAGCAAACACTCTCCGGAAGCCCACCCTGCTTCCCACGGCACCTGCCACCAGGGACAGCTATGCACTCCGCCTGGGCTGTCACCTGCGTCCACACCAGGGCTCAAAGGTGCCGGCGCTCAGGCAACGTTGCTAAAACCCCACCTGCCTGGTCATCTTACGTAACGGTTTCCAGCTCCTTAACAACCTCTCCCACAGCAGTGGTCGCTCTGTGGGTGCCACTGTGTGCCGGGCCCACGGGCGGGTCTGGAGCGAGGGGAACACTGCCCCCAGGCCCGTCTATTCCACGCTCTGCTCGGCCTCCGCTCCGGCTCCAGGGGCAGCCGCCGGTGCTCACCGCTCGTGCTGCCAGCGTCATCAGCACCCCGGTCAGGAAGGTCAGGTAGTACCCCGGGTACACGCCGTGCCAGATGGCGGACAGGACGAACGTCTGGATGGTGGGGCTCACGGTGGCACGCTCGTAGCACACCCTGGAACGAGGGAAGGCCGGGAGAGCGCACCGTCAGACTCTGCAGTGCCCACGGCAGCTGCTCCGCTGCTGCTGAGAGGGTTCAGGGGCCCGGGGACTCGGGCACCAGCTGCATCGGCCGAGACGCCGTGGCTGGGCTCAGGCCCCTCGCAGCTGCCAAGTGCCCAGTGTGGGAAAGCAAGTGTAGCCCCGTCTTCTCACTGGGGCAGTGTAATAGCTGGAATGCTCACGCCCAGTGTTTAGGAGTCTACACTAGTTAAAAAAAAACCCTTTAACTATGATTAAAGTTATTTTTATTTTACACTATTTTTTTGTTAGTAGCATTAAGACCTTACAATTGATCTAATAACACTATTTGTTCTGGCAAGTAGGTGGGGCTTACTCTACGGCTTTCTTGTAACAGGCGAGAGAACTCAGATGAAAATAAGATCTTCCTAACGTATCAAACTTAAAATTTGACAACAGAAGTAACACAGCAAATCAGCTCCCAAATTCTGCAGCCACAGGGGGGCTGCAGGGCAACACGAAGCGACAATGACGACAATGACGATGCTACCTTTTGGCTTTCGGGATGAAGACACCCCACTGGTCCTAAGACAGAGCACGGGCAAAAGGAGCCTGGGGCTGGGACCCCCCCATCCCAGGGCAACACGGGGCGTTAAGTCTTGTTGGGACGGTGAGACGGAACTGCTTGGTCTCCTGTGACTGCCCCCGCCCGAGTGGCCTTTCCCACTCATCATCCGTGTCGGGGCGCCCCCCCCCCACCGGCCCTCCCTGGCTGCCCCTGCTCCATCTCCTCCTCGCACCTCGGGGAAGAGCTCATGTGGATCGTTTGGCTCTGTCTTTAAGGAGACTGCAGGCCCTGCAGAGGCCGAGGCTTCTCCTTGGTGACCTTCCTACCCTGTGCTAACGGTGAAGACCTGCTGAGGGGACCATGTGGGAGCTGGAACTGTTCTGGAAAACCCAGGCCATTAGCACAGTGGTTGGACATTCGCTGGTTTTGTGTGACTGCATCTCCAACCAGTGGGAGCAGGGGATGCTGCAGCCTGACCTTGGCAAGGCCTTCTTAGGCCTTGGAGGGCTGGGGACAACTGCCTTTAGGACCTGGCTTTGGAGGACACAAACAGGGTTTCTGGGGACACCAAGGCCACAGTGTCACTCAAAACACTGTTAATTTAATCCAGAATCGGAACTCAGCGGAGCTCGGCCCAATCATTAACCGCCAAAGCACAGCTGAAGACTGTTTGCGAAGGAACGTACCTTTTAAGCCAAAGAGCTGTCTGAATATTCCAGTTATCAAGAAACATCTTGAAACTTGTTGACATCTGAAAAACAAAGGAACTTTTTTCTTTACCCAAGAAAATAATGGAGTTTTAATACAAGTAATAATGTTTTATTGTGCTAAACATCAATGAACTTGACAGTGATGGCAGGGGAGTGATTTCTTCCCCAAACACTGCTGTTCTAATAACGCAGGAACATCACACGCCACGGAAGGAGCCTGTTTGCTGCAGGCTCATCCACAGGGCGAATGGGTCAGCGCTCTTTTCTCCTGAGTGGCGACATTCACGGGGTGCTTGTGAAAGTATGCCAGAGAAATTCCTGAGAGAGTAGCCAGTGACTCTCAGGAGGATGGTACATCCCAAGAGCCACACCCACCCCGGTCCCCGGCTGCAGTCTGTGGCCCACCATCCACCACTCTGGTCAAGGTCCCCATGTCTTTCCTTTCCCCTTCTCACTCAACCCCCATCAAAGTCCTGACCCCAACCAACCATAGCGCCCATCTTCCCTGTCATAACGCCTGAACACTGGGTGCAGAATGTCACACGATGTTCAAGACGGTCGTCACTGTTCCTGGCTCGTAACTCCAACGAGCCCCTCACCCTGCTGGCCATCCCCGTCTCCCCAGTTAGGACAGTTCGTTCTCCTCTTCCTGGAAACGGCTATCGGAGCGCACCACCGGACACGCCTGTGTCTGGTAAGTCCAAACCAGGTAAAGGCCAGCACTTTGCAAGGTCCAACGAAGCATCGCCGAAGCTCCCCACTCTGTTCCTATCACCTCCCCAGTCCCTCAGCTCCTCCTTTAGCGAGGCGACAGACCCCATCAGAAGCCGCCTCCTCACATCAAGACCGCACACTCAGTGGCACCCACGTGCAGCTTTCCTCCGGTCCCTCTTCTGCGGGGTCACTCTGTCCGCCTGTCCTCAGCGCCAGGTCCCCCCCACCCCGCTCAGGGCCCTCACAGAGCCGTCCCTCTTCACACACGCTCCTGATCAGTGAACAGGCGTCAGTGCCTCCACTCTAAAACAACACAAGACTCCTTCGACCACCTGTCCCTCAGCTGTTGTCCTATCTCCACCCTCCTTCCCCGACGGGGAGGGTTGTACAGTTTGGCTCCTACGTTCGTCCCTGCCTCAACGCCGCTACCAAACCCCACAAACTCACACGCTGCTCATGCCAGCGGTGCTTCCGGTCCTGTCTCAGCGGGCACCCTGCACTGCTGCCCACACCCTGCATGAAGGGGGACCCCCTTCTCTTCCCTTCGCTGCTTCTTACACTGTGTCTTTCCAACGGGGGCGATTTCACCCCTGGGGAAGCAGAAATCTCTCTTTGTATGTGTAAAGCGTACACACACACACACACACACACACGGCACAATGGCTATGAAGTGCACCTGTGACTAAATTAAAGTCTCACGGGGGGATTTTGAAAAAAGCTCAAGGGGCCCCTTCGGGCACAACAGTGACGAAGGGTAGAAGTGCTGCCATACAGTCATCACCCGGTGTCCGCAGTCACCAGCTCTTCTCTCCTCTTCTCCCTGTTTAGTACTGACACGGTTAACAGTATTTCAAAGCAGAATTCCAGAAACCTTACTTCACCTGCAATGGATCCGAATTTAAGCCCTTTATACACATAAGGACTTTTAAAAAACTACGATCAGAGCCAACAAAATTAGCAATAATTTCTCAGCATCACTCAATACCCATTTGGTGTTCAGATATCCCCGATCATTTAAATGTGTGTCTCAGTGTCCTCATCTGCTGAGTGGCGAGGACACCAGCACCAGCCCTGGAGGCCGACGGTCAGGAGCCACGGTTCCCACATGCGTGCGGCACAAAGCCCGCCACAATGCTCCAGCACCATTCACACCCGCTCTCTCCACACGCCCTCCGTGGGGTACCTGACCCGCCCCTGTCCTACCCTGGGAGCCGGGTGAAGCGCACGCCCTCGGGCTGACTGCTCCCCTCCACCGGGGGAGGACGCCGCTCACTTCCCTCCTGCTGACCCAACGAAGACATCATGTCCTTCAGGGCCCCGCTGTCACCTGAGGAGGACCCCAGCCCTACGGCGACGTGCACCTGTCTGGTGGTTACCTACCTCTCTGCCTCCCTGTAACCGCCACTAGACCACAGCTCCATCAGAGCCCAGAGTGTCCCATTCTTTGTCCCCAGGGCCCCAGGGCCTGGCACAGGGTTAACAACCAGTCAGCGCTGGTGCAATGACCCAATGGGCAAGATTATTAAAAATCCTTCGACACTGCTCTTAGATATCACATCCTGATCTATGAAAGCAAATGATGGCACTTTCAGTGACATATGGTGACTCAGTGGTTTACTGACCTCTATCTGCTGGATCCGCAAGTTGGAGATCAGGTCCCAACGGGCTTCTCCGTTCTCATCGTGCCCCCTGAAACCGAAGCCCGCAGCATTGTTGATGGCGTCGGCTGCAGCAAACAGAGTGAGACAAAGTGTTAACAACCTATGGAACAATCACTCATGTTCTCCCAGGACGTGTACATTATCCCATACTCGTGTATGACCTTTTATTCTTAAACAGTAAAAGGAGATTTACTCTCGTGTTAACCTAATGATCCAGTTTTTAGGGTAAATCCTCATATTTTGGGTATGAGCTATGAGGTTTGTTTCTTCTACATCAGTGACCCCAGTTTTTCTAACTGGCCTCTAACCAGACATCCTCAAGAGGGCGCTCTCATGGCTGCGTACAGGGTATGATACACTTCAGCACATAAAGAGAAAAGTCTAATCGCAGCGAAGCAGCCTGGACATGGGCAGTCAGGACGTCACTCAGGCCCCAGAAGCTGGCGGCATCTCCACCAAATGGTGCAGAGCCAGACTTTGGGGGGATGGGTCCCACAGGGTGGGTGGCCGTGACACCTAGGCCATTCATCGGGAGTGCAAGTTCAGAACCTCTGGTCAAGAGGGAGGCATGGGTGAACGGGCTTCACCTCCTCACGCAACCACAGAAAGAATTACAACCAGACCTCAAAACCAGTGACACCAGAACCATCAGAAAATGGAGCCGGACGTGAGTCTGGCCACCAAGGATTTAAAGAAGCTGCATTTGTCCAGACGGACCATACCGCTAGGACAGGGAGTCAGAGCAGCTGCCCCAGACACGGAACCAAACACAGGGAAGCTGCCGACTGAGGAGACAAAGAATGATCGAAGAACAGAACGAAACCCAGAAAAATAACTAAACAAAACCGAGATAACCAACCCATCAGATGCAGAGTTCAAAACACTGGTTAGTAGGATGCTCAAAGAACTCACTGGGTACGACAACAGCATAAAAAATGCCCAGGCAGAAATGAAGGTTACACTAGGAGAAATAAAGAAAAACCTACAGGGAACCACAGTAAAGGGGACAAAGCCAAGAATCAAATTAACAGCTTGGAACATAAGGAAGAAATAAGCATTCAACCGGAACAGCAAGCAGAACAAAGAATTAAAAAAAATGATTATAGTATAAGGAGCCTCTGGGACACCGCCAATCATACCAACATCTGAATCATAGGGGTGCCGGAAGAAGAGGAAGAGCAAGAAATTGAAAACTGCCCTGGCTGGTGTAGCTCAGTGGATTGAGCGCGAGCCTGCGAACCAGACAATCACGGTTCGATTCCCAGTCAGGGCACATACTGGGGTTGCAGGCTGGTTCCCTGCAGGCCAGTTCCCAGCAGGGGACGCATGAAAGGCAACCATAGATTGATGTTTCTCTCCCTCTCTCCTTCCCTTCCCCTCTAAAGATAAATAAATAAAATCTTAAAAAAAAAAAGAAATTGAAAACTTATTTGAAAAAAAAAAAGAAAAAAATTCCCTGATTTGGTGAAGGAAATACAACTCCAGGAAGCACAGAGTCCCAAACAAGTTGGACCCAAACAGGACCACACCAAGACACATCATAATTAAAATGCTAAAGGTTAAAAATAAAGAGAGAATTTTAAAAGCAGCAAGAGAAAAGCATAGAGTTACCTACAAAGGAGTTCCCATAAGACTGTCAGCTGATTTCTCAAAAGAAAACTTTGTAGGCAAGAAGGGACTGGCAAGAAATATTCAAAGTGATGAAAAGTGAAGACCTAGGCCCTAGATTCCTCTGTCCAGCAAAACTATCATTTAGAATGGAAGGGCAGACAAAGTGCTTTCCAGACCAGGTAAATAAAGCCAAAGGAGTTATCACCAAGCCATTACTACACAAAGTATAGTATCCAGGGACTTATCCAGGAACACAAAGATGATCAAAACTATGAACATGAAAATGGCAACAAGTTAAAAAGTATCAATAACTGAATTTAAAGATACTGCCCTGGCTGGTGTAGTTCAGTGGATTGAGCGCGGGCCTGCGAACCAGAGGATTGCGGTTCGATTCCCAGTCAGGGCACATGCCTTGGTTGCAGGCCAGTTCCCAGCAGGGGACACACGAGAGGCAACCATGCACTGATATTTCTCTCCCTCTCTCCTTCCCTTCCCCTCTAAAGATAAATAAAATCTAAAAAAAAAAAGATACCAACTAATCAAACCACCAGAACAGGAACAGAATCACAGATAACAGAGACCATCTGGAGGGTTTGCGGCAGGGAAGGGGAGGCGGGAATGGGGAAAGGGGCACAGATTAAGAAACATAATTGGTAGGTACAAAAAAGACAGGGGGAGGTTAAGAATAGCATAGGAAATGGAGAACCAAAGAACTTATAGGCACGACCCATGGACACGAACTGAGGGTCGGGGTAGGGGTTGCTGGAGGGAGTGGCAGACCTGGGTGGAGGGCGGTTTGGGGGGAAGACTTGGGACAACTGTAACAGCATGACCAATAAACTAGGTATATTTTTAAAAGAAAAGTCCAGTCACAGGTTACTTACCTAATGTCCATGCAAAGTAGTATTTGGGCCTGGCCGCCAGGAGAGAGATGTACAGATAGATGACCTTTGTGGGCCACGAGGCTGTGGCTCGGAAGTGCTCGTCGATGTTGTGTTCCACGGGGAAAAAGCTCGAGACGGTCAGGTGAACCAGCAAGGAGAGTCCGCAGACCAGGAGCTTCTGAGTGACCGCCACCTGGAAGGGCGAGACGGGGCTTCGTGAACCGGACCCGCCCTCGGCCTGGGCCTCTGTGCTTTCACTCACAGCCAGGGGGCCCCTAACGGGTGAAGTGGGGAGACAACACAGTCAGTGGAAGAGACCTAAGTGAACACAGTATCTCGTCTGAAACGCAACCCAGCATGACACAGCTTCCGGCGAACACTCAGCCGGTGACAGAAAGCACAGGACAAACGCACCTTTCTGGGCTAAACGCACTCAGCCACACAGCGGGACAGGGGACGCTTTTACCACTGGACACCAGCTCTTCACCACTGTCTGTCTGCAGTGACTGGGACAGGAGGCTGGCCCTCTGCCCCACGCCCACGGTCTGAACATACACTCGCACTGACTCCCAGACTTTTGATCGACCTTCTCATGGGACTTTCAGATTCTATCATACCAACCCCACAGAAAGTTCACCTGCACAGAGCCCCCAACCCTTCCTGACCAGGCAGCACCTGGGCGGGCCCAGCTGCCCTGCGGTTCAAAGGGAGTGGAGACCACCTGGGGTGCAGCACAGCCCGCCGGGTCTGGCCTCCAGTCCTCCCACTGCCAACCCTGGCCTCTGAGTCTGTCTCCTCGTCTGTTGAATGATGAGCATAAGAGCACCAGCTCCGAAGACTGCCGTGCAGGCTGGAGTAGCTGTGAGAAGTCTTACGACAGTGCCTGGCATGTGGGATGTTCTAGCAAAGAGTTAGCTGTTACCTTCCCACTGCTGGGATGGGACAAGGTTTTATGGAAAAGGTGCTATGTGAAGTGGGCCTTTAAAGGAGTAAGATTTCAATGGGAAAGGGAGAGCAGAGAGGAGAACAGGAAAAAAGAACACTTGGAATTTGCTGGAACATAAAATCTAGGTTGGAAAGGCCTGGAAAATTAGGTTGGTTCAATTCCACAAGAAGGGCTTTCTTGTAAACACCCCATAGCTAGTATAAAGCACTATTCTCAGGAAGCTTCCTACGCCCCCACGTCTGTTCTTCTCTCATACTGTACTTCTCCTAAGCATCACTGCCAGGTCCTTAATACAAGAGTCGTTTCTCTTGTAAAAACATCTTAGAGAAATAGAGGGTAAGGACAAAACTTGAACACACGAGCATCTTTGGGTGAACAGGACCAATCAGTCCACGGGATAAAGGCCCCAGGCGGTTCCCACACTTACATTGGGAGACGGCTCTGCTCTTGCACGGTGCGGCTCTTCTTTGCCATTTTTGTCTGAGTGTGCCACGTGGTGCGACCTGCCTTCGATGAATATGATGTAGTCCTTGTACGAGCAGAGGGGGCCGGCCAGGATGCCCATGAAGTTACAGTTGTAGCTCAAATACTCCAGCAGGCTCGGCATGCGCCTGCAAGGACAAGACAGCACCCTGTGCGGCCTACCAGAACCTTTCAGGAAATGTAATGGCGACGACCACCATGTACCTGGCTGCTCCCACCATTTCTGAAATAAAACAAGCTTTCCTTTCCATTCACATCCCAACAATCAGAATCTTGAAGATCTGGATGCGGTCATGCCCAACAGTGGTTCTGGACAAAGAGTTTCCACGCAGGTCTCTGTGAGCCACGACGGGTTTCCACGCCACTCCTCACAAGGAATGACAGGAAGATCCGTCTCCCACCAGTCGATCCCGCGCTCACTCAGCACACCTGTGTGTGCGCCCACTGTGAGCTCACACGCACCAGCGCGTAGACAGAGTGAACAACATAAAGGTCTGCACTCACAGAGCTTATTGCGGCACTTGCAGAAAACATAATAAAATGTAAAATCCTTGCAAAGATGCTAACCACTACAAGAGAGGAGCTATTTTATTACATTACTAAGGTAGAAGCAGCCTCTCAGAGAAGGTGACTTGGAGCAGAGAGGAAGTGAGAGGGGGTCGTGTGCATGTCCAGGACCAGGACTCCTGGCAGAGGCACCAGCGAGTGCAGGGACAGACCACCTGGGCCGCAGGGAGGCCAGCGGGCAGGGGCAGACTGAGCAGGGCAAAGAGAGAGGAGGGAAGTCCGAGGGGGCCGTGGACTGTACTTAACCCAACGTGGTTAAATCCACTGCTCTGACACCAGCCCAAACGGCACATGGTATGTACAGTTTGCAGCGCACTTTCGTTCTCAGTGCAGGTAACCAGGTACTGACTGGTTAGTAACACAGGAGATTATGTGGACTGGACACATTATCATGTAAGGAATCAGGAGCGGAGCTTTTCAATGTGTAAATTCAGCCCCATTCATCAGGCTGCTGATGAATACCAGGCACCCTAAAAGGACCTCTGCGGGTGGAGTTGGGCAGGAGAGGAGCCGGAGCCCAGTGGGGAGCTGTTACAGCAGACGACAAAGAAAGGGATGCAGGCCTGGCTGGGGGGGTCTCCATGGCAACGGTGAGGGCTCAGTCAGGTTCAGAGGGTCCAATGTCGAATTAGAGGTCGATTTCACAGACATAGTTAACCAGATTTGCTGAAGCGGATTTGCAGTGAGAAAAAGGGAGTTTGCCTACGTTTTTGTCCTAAGTCACCAGTAACAAATGGTTCCACAATTTTAAATTTGAGATAACAAATTCAAAATGAGCCCAGCCAGCAAGCCTGCGTTTTTTCCCACTTGGCTTTCAGCAGCTGTTCAGATGGAAAGCTGACTTTAACTAGGTTTGGGTGTTGCCAGGCAGCCACACGAGAGCCATGGATGAAACGGGACCCGTGTACCTGCCGATGCCTGGTGACTGGGAGGGACCAAGGCCTTGTGAAGGTCACTGAACCCAGGTCAGATTGCCCTCTCATCAACTAAGCGTGTTCACGTGGGTGTTTACTGACAGGTAAGGACTGGCTGCAGAGAGTATCAAAGGAGGAAATTTTACAGGTGGGGAAAATATGAGAGGATTCCCAGCACATGCCACCTGGGGTCAAAAGTGCACTCTTAAGGACGGTCTGTCCACCGTCACCAAGTCAGCGCGTTCCTCTGGCGGCCCCGCACCTGCTAGTTCTAGATTTCCAGGAAACAAGGTACTTCAGCAGTTTTTCTTTATGTAAACACGTATCTGATCTCTAATTAGACTTGCTAAGCAAGATGTTTAAGAAAGGTAAGCTATTTCTTAAATTAGCCAACAGAGTGCCTATAATAAATGCAATAGAAGACCATCCCCGAATAAAGTTCTCAAATAAAAACGAGAGCATCCAATGGGCTCCTCCTCCTTTGAAAACATGTCCGTCCATGTGCCGTGTTAACACACGGTCTCGCCCAGCGCCTGGCCTCAGGTCGCTGGCCTCTGAATGGTGCTGCCATTACTACAATCACTGCAGGGCAGACGGGAGGGCTACAGGGTCTTCCCGTCCCCAGGGCGTCTCAGACTGGAGACTGACAGTTCGGCAGAGAGCTTCATGGTACACAGCAGGTGCATACAGTATGCCCATAGATTCAAGGTGCTCTTGGAGCTTAGCAGGGATGCTTAGCCTGGGCTGGCAAGCCTTGGTGGCAGGGGGTTATGCAGAGGGAGGAGGTTTGGTTTCACCAAGGAAGTTCCTCGAGAATGACAATCAGCCTCGGCCCCTGAGCACTGGGTGTCCCGGGCAGAGGTGGCACGAACCCAGCAGGACACAGTGGAAAACACGCACCTCACAGCTAAGTATCTCTGCGACGGAGTCAGCTCTTCATCCTTTCGAAACATGCCTGAGAAATAAAGACAGGTACTGTTACCAATTTTGGTTTCTCCGAAGAAGAGAACTGCTTTTCCCAGGCACACTTTTCTCATTTGAAATCCACACTGTCCTTCCGATTCGGGCGTAATTGTTCCGAACACTCGGCTCCTTTCCCGCTCACTGCAACACACGCTCATCGGTCACGTCCAGGGCCACCGTGAAACCAGCAGGGCCAGGTCTGGGCACGATGGGTAACTCATCAAGGAGCTGATCTGACTCTTCCTTGCAGAAATTAGTGTTAAGTTAAGAAATTCCCCACAGCAAACACATTTAACAGTCAATGCACCCTCGCTGGTGTGGCTCAGTAGGCTGAGCGCCACCTAGTTTAGTTCCCAGTCGGGGCACAGGCCTGGATTAGGTCCCCAGTAGGGGGTGTGAGAGGCAACCACGCACTGATGTTTCCCTCCCTCTCTTCGTTCTCCCTTCCCCTTTCTCTAAAAATAAATAAAATCTTTTTTAAAAAGCAGTAAATGCTGTAACTTTTTACAAGGGTATTAAAAGGTTTCTACATTGGATGATCTAAACGACCAGCGTCAGCACTACGGGAGAGATGTCTTCCCCGCGAGACGGGACTCCCATCAGTGAGAGCTGTACTCTCTACCCTTCATCCGCACGCCTTTCCCCCAAACGGAAGGGCAGTATTACGATTACACATCAACCTTCCAGACCCTGAACCCAACGTAAAGACTAAATGAAAATGCAACCACCACACTTGAAAAACAGCTTCGGGTCTGCCCCAGCAGAGGGCGCAGGACCGGAGATGTGTACCCTGGGGCAAAGCCCGCTGAGCAAGCTGGAACCCGCCCACCTGCTGGAGATACAAACCACGGATCTATACATTCTTATACAAAAACGCACGTGCATGTTTTTAACGAGGGATGGAGAGCAGGGGGAAAACATTCTGATATTAATAAAAGTGTAACACAGAGGTGAAGCAGGAATCGATAAAGCTTTAGACCAAATATCTATTTCCTTTATATTCTAAATTGCCACTAATGTGGGTCATGAGTGAATCACACTGTTTTACTTTGTCACTGAATGGAATGCAAAATTAAGATAAAATATGGAAGAAAATGAACATTTTAATAGCCCTAAGCAGAGTTAAATATTTATTTTCCCCTGCCTTACCTCAGATAGAGAGCAGAAAGTTATGGTGATATCTTAAGCAAAAGATGAATTGAGTATGAGTTCTTTCAGTGATGCAAAGTTCATTTCTGAATTCTTACCGTCATGGATTTCGTAAGCCAAACTAGTGATCTTCTGGGTAATTATCATCATTGGTCTGTGGCAAAATGACAAATGGTTTGAAAGAGCACAGTTAACACAAGAGTTACGGTGCAGGAAAACAGTTCAGTCTGCTTACACAGTGACAGAGCCCTGGGCCGAGGTGACCTGGAGGAGACCTGGGCCGGGGGTGGCCCGGGAGATGGGGGCCAGGCCTGGATGTCAGAGCAGAAGGGAAGTTCACGCAGGGCCTGAGATCCTGGGGGCAGGGCTGAGGCCCAGCCTCACTGTGCGGGAGACGGGGGGGCCAGGGGAGCCAGAGGGGCCAGGACCACAGAGGCTTCAGACCCTGCCACCCAGCTCTGCCTCGGCACTGTCTCAAAGCCCCACGCTGCCTTCTACCCCGGGCTGTGCTTTAAGGCGGAAAGGAAAGTGCTGGGAAAAGGGGAACAGGCACAGCGAGGCTGGGTAAGAAATGTGGGGCAGACAGGAGGACGGAAACCGGGGGGAAGGAAAAGGCCCTGCGCCCATCTCCCTGCTCCAGGAGCCCGGCACCTGGGGGCGATGGCCTGCTAAGGACACCCCTCCTCCCACAGGCAGCCCACAAACCAGGGCACACCCTCGGGGAAAAGACGACTTTCAAAGTGTCACAAGTAATTAGCATTATTTTTGCATACTTTATAACCTCTGACTGAATGGATAACTTAGAAAGGAAAACATTTTGAAGCCGCATGAGAAAACGGCCAGGACACATTTCTACCCTTTAACTGTTACATCAGCTGACAGACACAAGCATCGAGGCACAACGAGCCCTGAGTTCTTTGTTTCTGTCTCTGGAATTTCAAGGAAGCGTGACGTGCCGGGAGAGCGTGAGCCCTCTGCCTGTGCGTGGCCACCCCCACACGCACCTGGGGAGAGGGTAGCCAGATGGGGGGAGGCACAGGCCCCAGAAGGCCAGCCGGCCCCGCTCACCCCCACAGCTCAGAGCACCGGGCTGGTCAGGGCCCACTGCCCCCTGCAGCGAAACACCGGCATCTTCAAGCCCTTGCAGGACACTGATCCCGTCCAAATCACCCACTGAGACATTTGGTCCATGCCACAGAGTCCTTGACACCTGGTCCTTGACATCTGGTTCTCGGGCCTCGCTGACCCACCGACCTGATGCCGAGACCGGCCAGGCTACAGAGGCAGGGAGGGTTAGCGGACGCAGTTGCTGGACCAGTGGAGCACAATGGTATTTTTACTGTGTTAACCCTGTACAGCACGAGCAGCCATGGACGTACGGCCTGCCTGACAGAGAAGGCACACGACTTTTCGCAGTGCCCGCCACCCCATCCAGGGTTCGTTTGAAACATACCTCTCACTGGCAACTAGATGCCCAGACCTGCCCGGGACGTACGTCTCATCCTCTCGAGGCCAGGCCCCAGGACAGCCTGGCGCTGACAGTGCCCCGTGGCAGGGAGACCGTCACCCCCCGCAGCCCCTGCCCCGGCCGTCACAGGTCTGTTCACACGGCTCCTGCTTAGGAAACCGCGCCTCAGCTGGCCCATCCGCCAGGAACTGTCCGTGCCTTTGAGGGTTACAAAAATGCCCTATGCCTCCCATTTCCCTGGGAGGAAAGAGGCATTTTCCCACTCTGCCTGATTCTCTTCATTGTTCGGTTCACCAATGAACGATAAAACACCCTTCAGTTCTAAATTCTAATGTCCCTGACATCTTAAAACATAGTAACAACTGGCAAAATAATTGTTAAGTGTGTTACCAACTTAGTGACATGCTACCTACTAGGTGGGGCAAAAGCAGCTTTGCCCCATCACACGTTTCCGTACGGAAACCGATACAATGATGAGTCAACAACACAGGAATGAACCCTGTGCTTCGTGTGCCGACGCTGCCTCGCCCCACACCCCCGACCCCTGGTGTGAGAAGCCCCCGGTGTTCTGCGTGCACACCCTCTGTCCACAAGCACACGCCCTGCACATCGTCCGCATCAGCCTGCTTCCTTCCCAGATTTCCACGTCTGGGGCCGTGCCATCGACCCCAGACCATGGGGGCTGTCCCCAAAGCAGGGAGGTGAGGCACTATTGCGATTTCTCACCCCTGAACCGCCCCCACCACCGGGCACAGGGCCTGGCACGAGATCTGCGCTGAGTATTTTTCAAATACCGAGTACACTGAGTCTTCTGAGTGCCAGCATCGACCATTCCTTCTGTACGTGTCACCCTCCCTCCTGTCCCTTCTCATCTGCACCGGAAAGCACTCACCCGCAGCTTTATACCTGCGTGTTTACTTTTCGGTCACGGCAGGAACCGTGCCCTGCTCACCTCTGCATCTGTGCTGACGCTCGCAGTCCCCCCACCCCCTCTGTGTTTGCTCTGCCGGCGACCTTCAGCCCTGAGCACTCCCTTCCTTCGGTGTTCAGCGAGTGGCGGCGGCGTCACTAGGGAGTGACAAGGGGGAGCACGCATGAACAGCAGCGCACGGCAGGAAATGTTCGGCAAGGGACAGAAAGGTGAACGAGCGCTCCGAAAAGTGAGCCGGAGGGGAACTGGACAGGCGAGCCTGTCACAGACGTGTGTGTGACCAGGGGACAGAAGAGAGATGGGGAGGGCAGGACAAACCTCAATCCAGGACAAACCTCAGTCCGTCACAGCAAAACACACTGTGCCAAGAAAACCCTTCTAAGTGGAACCACTGTAACAGAGGTTAACTGCAGCGATTTTCTCTGTGCTACACTGTGCTCATAAACACCCACTTCAGAGCCGATCAGAGTGACCACACAATCACTCCCTTGCACCTGACGTCCTGCCACCTGCGGACTGTGTATCCAGGGAGGCCTCAGGTACGCGTGAGTCACTTCCCAGGTGCTAGAAAGTCTGAGACACATTTCTGTGAATCAGAAAGGCCTCGTGTTTCCCTCGAGGGGGGGACTGGAGTTGACAAAGGGAGAGGAAGCAAGTGGCTTCAGAGCCTCCTCTGAGTGACGTCAGGGCCTCGGAGAGAGCCACTGTCCCTTCCACACGACGACACGAAGACCAAGTGGAAGGACAGGTGTTTCTGCCGCTGGCTCTCTGCTGGGCGCTCGGAAAAAACAGGTCTAACGGTTCACGGTAAATACTTCAACTGATGAAACAGTTTCAGGTAAATTAAAAAACACCTATCTGATGTAAAAAACTAAGACTGTAGACTTCTTGAAATTTCAAAAAAAAGATGCAAAAGTTCTACATTTATATTCCGTGCCTTCATTTTTCTACACAGAATGAGAATAACAGGATTTAAGTTCTATCATGCAGCAAACCTCGCTGCAGTTAAACATTATTAGAGAATGAATGCTAAACACAATCCCTTTGCTCCACTGTTCCATTATCTCATGCTGACGCCGACACCTGCACACTCACCTGCAAAGCAAGGACCGAGCCTGCGAGGTCAAAGGCCAGCTCGCCACCAGGGGACAAATTATGTAACAACTGAGGCAGCTGTTGACTGTCCACTGCCATCTCTAAACAATAGAACCCAATGACCCCAAATAAACTCCTCTTACCTGATGCCAAAGGAACACGCAGTAAGAGATCATGGAAAAATCCACGAACACACATGCAGTGAGAGATCACGGAAAAGGCCACGAACACACATGCAGTGAGACCATGGACAAATCCACAAACACACACAGTGAGAGGTCACGGAAAAGGCCACTGGTTCCCCTGCCACACCCACTCATCCGTTCACTTTCCTCCCTCATTCAGGACACAAGCAGTTGGTAGGCGCCTATCGTGCACCAGACACAGCCATGAGCAAGACAGAGCTCTCACTACCATGGAATTTATAGTGCATTAGAGACAGAAAATAAACCAATTAACAGGTAAATGTATCAGGTGTCGGACGCCGCTGAGTGCTGGGCAGAATGAGGCGGAGGGGGTGGTTCATGGGAGGGCCGGCAGAGGGCTGAGAACTAGCCTGGCCCAGAAGGTGACAAGTGTGGCCCAGAAGGTGACACGCGAACAGAGAACTTTTGCAGTCAGGGAGCAAGCCACGCGGAGGTCAGGGGTGAGGATGCCCCAGGAGGAGAGATCAATACATGCAAGAGCCCTCAGGCAGGAGCGAGAAAGGCAGGTTGGAGGGACTCAGAAGTGACTGGGCAGGTGAGTGGGAGAACAGGAAGAAGAGGTGAGGACAGGCAGCAGGTGGTCAGATGGAGCAGGATTTTATGAGGCGCTGTGACAACACGCCGAGGACTGTGGTGCCGGGTGGGGACAGGCAGGCAGAAGGGCACAGGGACAGCTGAGTGGTCTCGAGGGCAGTCTAGCCACCCCTGGAAGGTTGAGCCAACAGGGTCAACGATAATGAGAGTGGACTCGATGCAAGGTGTGCAGCACAATGTCCCGGGGCTCCGGACAGAGCAGCTGCCCAAGCTGACAGCCAGAGGGACGGCAACAGGAACAAGGGGCGGCAAAGCAGGGGTGCAGTTTTAGAGGTTTGGAGTGAGATGCCTGTCAGAGGGCTGGGGGAGACGTGGTGCACAGGAGCGGAACGCGTGTCCCAGGACTCGCCGAGCGACCCCGCTGCGCACCAGCGGCGGAAGACTGGGAAGCTACTTCACTTTCCCTCCCCAAAGTATCTATAGAATGGGGACAAGATCGCCACTGCGCAGATTAAATAAAGAAGCAACGTGGGGGATACCTGAACAGCATCTGAGACAAAGCAGATATTTATCAAAACTCGCACAGAACCAGTGCTGGGCTACAGATCTAAGCAGCACCGTGTTTTTTAATGAACTATTGGGTGGAATCCCCAAACAGGAACTAGAGAAGCGCAGAGCAGAAGCTGCTGGAGAAATGTGCCGGCCAGAGCCTCATCTGCTCAGCGCCCCGGGCACGTGCCCGAAGTCCAGGACTCCGAGTCGTGTGGAGACTCACGATTTGACAACACCGTCAGGCCAGCTGCTACTGCTGACATTTCTACCACCAACACGCGTGAACTGCATTAGTCAATGACATCCTCTTTGCTTCTGGTTCATACGAAATGCTTTGTTTCTTTCTTAGCTATCGTCACGCAAGCACTCGACCCTGTGACTGGACCCCTCAACAGGCCAGCTCTGCCTGCACTGCTCAGGTTTTTCTACGTTGTGTCTGTTATTCTTCCACGCTTTTCTCACTGAATTTCCTACGTTCTTCTTTACTGAAGCACGAGTGTGGGCTCAGCAACTGTTTATTTCACGCCCCTCTGTGCAAGGCGTCAGGAACACGGAGGCAACTGGACCAGGACAGTCACTGATCTCAGAGCGTGAGCTGTCCCGAGTGCCTGGGTCCTTTCAGATACGCACAGCCAGTCCCTGCTTTCACTAGTATGACGACGACCCAGGACCAGGGTCACTTCTTCCAGGTCATTAAGGTTTTTGTGGTGGCCCGACACTTCTACTGACCCTGCCCCTCAGCCCATTTTCTCCGGAACACCTATTACTTTTAAGCCGGACCACCAGCACCCGCTGTCCTTTTCTCACTTCCAGGGGGTTTCTCAGTTCTAGCCGACATCCTGCCAATGGCACTATCTAGGGTGTTTACTGTTTTACTTTGGCTTGCTTTTGTTCCTTTGAATACAATCTCCTTTCATCTAAGCTTATTTTTAAAACCTGTTTAATGAAAGTAAAATCCACTTTACTTTCATTAAGGACAAAAGGGCATTTCATTTTATAAAATTCTCTCATTTCACAGCAGTGATTTTCCTCTAAGCTCATACACCTTTGGTCCATTTCTACTGTTGGACATTTTTTTTCATAAATGCCATCATTTGGTTTTTTTCCCCCTTTAGTTATCCTTAAATTGAGTTTTCTGGTCATTATTAATCCTGTCCAGATAACTCAAGACTGACTTAAAAGTAGGTCTGTGTATCTTATTGAACAGACGACAAAGCAGACACCCTTGCCACAGAGAATGCAGAGGCTTATTGTCACCTTCCACTCCGAGTCGTTGGCCACGCCCCTGTCTACAGAAGGCCAGTGAGCCAGCTCTTGCGGAGGACTCCGGCTACGGAGGACTCCGGCTGCGCTCATCCCCCAGCAGGCAGGCAGGCGGGCAGCGTTGTTACAGGCAGAGAGCACCAGAGAGGGACTGAATCCCCTTCGGAGGAACCAGAGGCAGAGTTATTGTCACCACCCGCTGAACACTGGACGTTAAGAATGTGGAGCGTTCCATGACAGTGAGATGCGAAGAAGTGAACACGGGCTCACGGGTCTCCTCCAGCAACTCCAGACGGACACGCTGGCCCGAGGGCCTCTGGTCCAGAGCAAGCCCCTTGGGTGCAGAGAGGCAAGGACGGGTGGCCAGGCCTCACACAGAAGCTGCCGAGGGGCCACCAAGGAGGACACGGGGAGCAAGGGGAGCAAGGACGGGCAGCGAGCGGGCCGGCTCCAGGGGGCGACCGGCCACTGCTGCAGATGGCGGCAGACGTCTCCATCAGAACTAGGGAGCGCTTTCCGTGTGAGAAGGCCATGTGACCAATGCAGTTGCTATGTGTTTAGAATATTTTAAGGCAATTTAAAAGGACAGGTTATTTTTGTGACTTATGTAGCACTACAAAGACCACTTAACAAGGAGATTTCTAAATTCATAAAGGACTTTTCAACTAAAATGTTTAGTGCTGGCTTTTCATTCGAACTACTAAATGCAACTATATTTTGTCCTTTAATGAACATGTTAGAATAGAAAAAAAACAGGCTACTAAATCGAAGGTTTCATCTTACCCTGAAAAATCAGCGGAATATTGTCCATAATCAAAGATATAGACTCTAGTAATTTGGCACACTATGAGGTATCCCAAAGCAAACACAAAACAATATCTGGAAAACAAAAATAAGCTAGATTAGTGAAAATGAAGATTCATTTTG